CTGGGGACCCAGGCTCATACAGAAGGAATCTAGGCTGCAAGGCGGAAACTCAGGGGAGCAGCGAAAGGCAGATCTCTGGAGGCGTGCATTTGAATGTGCGCAGAGGACAGACTGTTGACTGTGCCGCTGGATTGCCCTAGCTAGAAGGAGACAAAAGCTCTGGACTGCTCTGAACCCCACTTCCAACCTTGCTTCCAACTGCACTGAACCCCAGTTCCGGGCTCATTGGGGGAGAGACTAGACTGTCTGGTAGCTGGCGAAACTTGAGGGCATCTTTCTTTCAGAGGTGCTCGTGAATTCCGAAGGACACTGAGGAACACTGAGACTCAGGAACCTCATAGGGCGGGGCTGTAAGCCAAGGCTGTAGGCTCCACCCTGAAACTCTGCCCAATCTAAGCTGAGCACAGAGGCTTTTGCAATTTTCCAAGTCTAGTCGAATAAGGCTGTCTCCCAGCTTAGACACAGCTGATCCTCATAGCCAATTGGCCTGGAGGTCAGTTCCTCCCAGTGATACAAACAACAATCAGGATTTAACTACAATAAGGCTGTACACACAGTCCACAAAGAGGTGCACCAAGAGTGTCCACCTCAGGTAACTGGGAGACTGACCCACTGAACCACATAGGACACCTTAGCACACAAAGCCACTCTACCAACTCAGGGAAGCAGCGACAATGCCGAGACAAAAAAACAGATCACAAACAAAAGAAATGGAGGACAACAAGTGACTGGATATGGAGTTCAAAACCATGGTTATAAGATTTTTCAAGAATTTCCTAGAAAAGGCCGATAAAATAAAAGAGACCTATGAGAATATGAAAAGGAATCAACTAGAAATAAAAAATACATTGTCTGAAATAAAAAATATTATACAGAGTCCTAAAAACAGAATGGAAGATTGCAAGAATCAAGTCAAAGATTTGGAACAGAAAGAGCCAGAGGACACTCCTCTGCAAAAGCAAGAAGACAAGAGAATCAACAAAGTTGAAGATAATGTAAGAAACCTCTGGGACAACTTCAAGCGAACCAACATCAGAATTATGGGGGTCCCGGAAGAAGAGAGAGAGCAAGATACTGGAAACATATTGGAATAAATAGTGACAGAAAACTTCCCCCACCTGGTGAAAGAAATAGACTTATAAGTGCAGGAAGCGCCAGAACCCCAAACAAAAGGAATCCAAAGAGGACCACACCAGGACACATCATAATTAAAATTCCAACAGCAAAAGACAAAGAGAGAATATTAAAAGCAGCAAGAGCAAAGCAGGTAGTTACCAATAAAGGAGCACCCATATGATTGTCAGCTGATTTCTCAACAGAAACCATGAAGGCCAGACAGGAATGGCAAGAAATATTCAAGGTGATGAATACCAAGAACCTACAGCCAAAAATACTCTATCCAGCAAAGGTATCACTCAGAATCAAAGGCCAAATAAAGAGTTTCACAAATAAAAATAAAAAAGCTAAAGGAGTGCAGCACAACCAAACCAGAATTATATGAATTGCTGAAAGGGGGTTTTTTAGGAAGAGGAAGAAAATAAAGATAAAAATTATGATCAACAAATACGTAACTATCAACAAGTGAATCTAAAAACCAAGGGAATTAAAAAATCTGATGAACAATATTAACTGGTGAATATAATAGAATCAGAGGTATGGAAGGGAAGTGGAATGACAATTCTCGGGGAAAAGGAGAGTGCGGGGTGCGGAAAGAGACTGAACATCCATGCACTTATGGATGAGGACAATGGGGGTGGGGAAATGGCAGAGGGTGGGGAGGGAACCTGGTGGAGGAGAGCAATGGAGGGGTAGAAAATGAGGAACATTTGTAATAATATGAACAATAAAGATTTATTTTAAAAAATGACCTAGTGATCCTTATACCAATAGTCATTATATCCTTCACAGGCAAGTATCTTCTGGGGGTGGGGGCAGCCTGGTTCATTTCTTAGGTGAAGCAGAAAAAATTATTAATCTCGACCACTGAGCCTACACTTTTTTTAAAAAATATGTTTTAATGATTTTTTTTACAGAGAAGAAGGGAGAGAGCTAGAAACGTTGATGAGAGAGAAACATCGACCAGCTGCCTCTTGCACAGCCCCTACCAGGGATGTGCCCGCAACTCCCATATATGCCTCTGATTGAAATCGAACCTGGGACCTTTCAATCTGCAGACCGATGCTCTACCACTGAGCCAAACTGTTCTGGGGAACCTACACCTTTCTGATATCCTGCATGATGAAAGAGGAATTACACATTAAGCTCTGCTGCATATAGAAGTATAATGGTTGCCTCAAGGAAAAGAATGTGCAGTTGAGTTGCGAGCTAAAGTAGTCACATTTTCCAGGAAACATGGTTTGGTGGCAGTGGGAGCTATCATCTCTAACAGCCCACTACAGGATATAAAAAAGACACCAAAATGGTACTAAGTTTCAAAGTGTGAAATAAAGTCATTCTAATCGGTGTTAGAAATATAGCTTACCTCCTCAGGAACTCCAAGTCTCTTAGCTGGGATTTTCTGATAGGACCCCCAAAATAATTCTTTGGCTGAATCACCATAGTTGTCGTAAGCCTTCAGGGAATAAATGATTCCCTGTGTTTACATATAAAATAGGAACAAAATAAAGTACATAATATTAAATTTTATTTCTAAAGGCATCAAAAAAAGTCTATCAACCAATACCACAAATTAAATGGCTCCAGTGTAATAGAAAAGGTGACACTGCTAATATTGAAAAAATTTAATAGTGGTTGACTACTACAATGAATTTTCTGAATACTCATTTTATAATCTTCCCTTCCTTAATAACCAGCAAAGCCCTGGATTTTTTTCATAAAAGACTTGGATTCTGAAAGCATAATCATATGAGCAGATTAGTGGGCTCTTAACTGAGATAAACCATGAGACTGGAGAGTCTATTTTATCTTCCACTGGGCTTCTCTGTTTTACACGTAAGGCTGGGCCATGGCTATGCGGACTTAGAAAATGCAATATTGTCATGGTTTTTCACCTACAGTAAAATCACAAATAAAGCATGTGAGTCTAATATAAAGAAACAAAACATGTAATTGTTTAAGAATTCTTCTATATAGCTTTCATGGATTTATAAAGCCAGGAAAAGTACTCAAAACCTGTTAAACATAGGATAAAGCTATTTGTTACTGGCTCAAAACCACAACAGAGATTATGGGGAGGAGGAGAGGAACAGGAGGTGTAAGAGACAAGGAAATTGCGTGGTATTGCTCCAAATGATAGGGGGATGATATACTGGTTTCCCATTAAACAATTTGCAACCTTTTGTTGAAAGAGGATGACATCTTCTAGAAGTATTAAGTTTTCGACTTTAAACCCAAAAATGTCTCAGGAGGAAAAATAAGACTTCATAAGGAGCTTATTACACTAACAACCCACTAAAGGTTTTAAGGAAATGCACTTTAGGAGGACAGTAATGCAAGGTAGCTGAATTAAGAATGGAATTAATATTTAATAAATATTTGCATGTAATTTGAGTAAGAAAGGCAGCTATGAAGGACCAAATGGAAATGAAGTTTCTTGCTAGGAGCCTGAGTTTGTTAAATAGGAGATTTTCTACTAATGTCAACAAATCAGGTCATGCTTAGTTCGCGCTGAGAAGCATGGATGACAATATCTATAGGTAGTATAGAGTAACAGATAATAGCCACAGATTACAAAGTTTCAGATTGAGGAACAACTCCTATATTTTAGAAATGACCAGGAAACATCACAGAGAAGTGCATGTGAGCTGACTTTTACAGGAGGAGTGAAATGCTTCATTTAATGTCTCAGTACAGGGCCAACGTGTAATACTCAAGGAAGCTTAAGCTGTATCTTACTTCACACAAAAATGATAGGTTTTGAAGTGGAATATATTGTGATTTCCCCCATGACTTACATTAGGTTTCAGAGAAATTTTCTATTTACTTCTAGTTGTTCTTCAACTGGGAGTTTCTTCCTAAAACTTTGACTTTAAGTCAGTCTCTCTCTCTCTCTCTCTCTCTCTCTCTCTCTCTCTCTCTCTCTCTCAATAAAAGATTTATAATAAGCCAAGAAATAATAAAACAATCCAGAAAAATTCATTCTTTAAAGTAGCGATTTTTCAACTTTCACAGTGCATTTGAGTTTCTTGGAAGGTTTTCAAAAATACTGATGATTGGATTGCGCAGTTTGGAGCCAAGCTCATTTATCACAATTTTTTAAACATTTCACAGATAATTCTAATAGATAGCCAGAATTGAAAATCATTGGCTTATTTTAACCTTAACAATCTGATCAAAGAATACTGGTAAATCAAAGAATATACACATCATTTTTAAAAACCAATCTTTTCTAGTATACAAACAGTGACAAATACCAACAGTGATAAGTTCCATTTATCAACAGCATAAATGGATTCAGAAGCGTACAGCTTATTCATATACAACATTTACTTACAGGGGCAACACAGTTGATTCTTACTCCATTGCTGGCCCATTCCAAAGCCAAGGTTTTGCTGAGGTTGTAAACACCTTCTCTGGCAGCTCCACTATGCCTTTAAAACACAAAAGATATAAACACTATAATTAGCTCTTGTTGAATATTTCTCTTATTAAGTAAACCGACATGTGTGTCAATGGCCTGTCAGAACCCCACAAGAACCTTCTTGTCATGAAACTGTGTGTCTGAGTCTGTCTGAACAATGGGAAAGAATTGAGTCCTCCCATGTTAGAGCCAAACCACAGCTGTCTGATTGTCAAACCTCACTGTGCAGGCCCACATAAGATTCCCACAATTCACAGGGATTAAGAGGAATAGTGAAAACTTTTTTATGAAAATATACAAATTGGTAATTTGAGGGTTACAAGTGTGGTTGCTACAAGTCTTTTGGTGTGTGCACAGTAAATTTTTCCCTGATGATGATTTCAGTGATTTTATGTTTGTTTTACTTTGGCTATTTCTGAACCTTTGACACATAGGAAAATATATATGTATAAATGCTTACGCAAATCCCGGAAATCCATTTTTAGTAACAATAATGATATTGACAATGGATCCTCCATGCTCTCTCATCCAAGAGTTGTAAACTGAAGGAACAAACAGATGACAGTCATATTAAACAGTGTGCTGACCCTTCTCTGGTCCCCTGTTCCAGCATGCTGCTTTTGTGGTTGGTTTTTAATTCATATTTATACTATATATTTTTTATTTTTTAAGCCTGACTGAGGTACAATTTACATATCATAAAAGCCATCTACTTTATGTGTACAATTAAATAATTTTTAAAAAATATACGAAGTTCTGTGCTCGCTTCAACAGCACATATACTAAAAATATAGAGTTGTCCTGGCCAGTGCGGCTCAGTTGATTGGAGTGTCATCCTGTGCACAAAAAGGTTGCTGCTATATAGTGGTACCACTCTTACATTGTACAATATACCACTCTTACATTGATGTTCTTCTTTCCCCCTCTCTCTCCCTTCCTCTCTCTCTAAAAATCAATAAAATCCTTTAAAAATGTATGCAGAGTTGTGCAACTATCAACACAATACAGTTTATAACGTTTCCATCACCCCAAAAAGTTCCTCTGAGCTCATTTGCAGCCAAATCAACTCCTGGGCAAATGCCCATTCATTTTCTGTTTCTGTAGATTCGACTCTTCTGAATATTTCACATCAATGGAATCACACTTTTATGTCTGGCTTCCTAGAATGCTTGTGAGGTTCATCCATGTTGTAACACATATTAATAGCTCCTTTTTGTTGTTGAATAGTCCTCCATTGTATGGATGTGCCATATCTTATTTCTCCATTCACCAGTTGATGAACATTTGGGATGATTATGAACATGCTTTGATGTAGAAACATGCTTTTGTTCCTCTCAGGTTAAGGGTAAAATCGCATTCATATGGTAACTCTATGTTTAGCTTTTGAACTCTATGCCAAACTTTTTCAGTGTCTCCATTATGTTATATTCCTACCACAAATGCATGAGGACGCCAGTTCCTCCACACCAGTATTGTCTCACTTGCTGATTACAGCCATTCTAATGAAAATGAGGTGGTACCATCAAAACTGAGGTTTTGATTTCCATGTCCGTAGTGACCAATGGTGCTGAGCATCTTCTAATGTGCTTATTAGCTTTACATATATCTTTTTTGGTGAAATATCTACTCCAATCTTTTTTCCACTTTTTAATTGGGGTGCTTTCTTATTATCAAATTATAAAAGTTCTTCATATATTCTGGATACAAGTTCTTTATCGGATATGTGATTTGGAAAATTTTCTCCCAATCTGTGGCTATCTTTTCACATTCTTAATGGTGTCTTTTGAAGCATAAACATTTTTAATTTCAAGTCTAGTTTATCAATTTTATATTTTATAGATATATGGGGATTTTGGTGGTGGTTCCTAGGACTCTTAGCCTAACCTAAGATCAGAAAGATTTTCTCCTTTGTTTACTTCTAAAAGTTTCAGAATTTACTTTTCCCATGATCCATTTTGGACTATTAGTTAACTTTAATTTATAGTGTGAGGTAAGGGTCTTTTTGTATGTGGAGATTCAACTGTCCCAGTATCATTGATGAAAAGACTGTCATTTCCCCATAGAATTATTGGCACCTTTGACAAAAGTCAATTAACCACAAATATAAAGTTTTATTTATGGACTCTCAATACTTTTCCACTTATCTATACATCTATCCTTATGCCAGTACCACGATGTTTTGAAATCAAGAAATATAAGTCCTCCAAATTTCTTCTTTTGTAAAATTGTTTTGGCTAATCTGGTTCTTTGCATTTCCATATACAGTATCTTTTGTTTCTTTTTTTCTTTGTTTCCTTTACCCAAGAAGATAAATCAGAAAAAATATATGGCTAAGAGTCATGCCAGAGATTTCACTGCCTATATTTAATTCTAGGAGTTTTATGATTTTGAGCCATACATTACAAGTATTTAATCCACTTAAGAGCTTATGCTTAAACCATTGTATATGGTGTAAAAGGTGATCTAGATTCATATTTTTGCTTGTATCTGTCTAATTTTCCCAACATAATTTATTGTATAGTCTATCTTTACCTCATTGTATGTTCCTGCCTCCTTTATCATATACCAAATAGATATGGGCTTATTTCTGGGCTCTCTATTCTGTTCCATTGATCTATGTGTCTCTTTTTATATTAGTGCCATGCTGTTTTGATTACTATACACTTGTAGTATAGTTTGATATCAGGTAGTGTAAAAACCTGTAACTTTGTTCTTTTTTTCTCAAGACCACTGTCCTATGAGGGTTTTTTTGTGGGGCCGCATAAATTTTATTTTTTTGAATATAGTTTTATTGATTTCAGAGAGGAAAGGAGAGGGAGAGAGAAATATAAACATCAATGATGAGAGAGAATCATTGGTCAGCTGGCTCCTACATGCTGCCTACAGGGGATAGAGCCCATAACCTGGACATGTACCCTTGACTGGACTCGAACCTGGGACTCTTCAGTCCATAGGCCGAAGCTCTATCCACTGAGCCAAACCCACCCAGGGCTCCACATAAATTTTAGATTATAATTCTGTGAAATATGGCATTGATATTTTGATACAAATTACATTAAATCTATAGATTGCTTTGGGTAGTAAGGACATTATAATGATTGAAACCAAACATGTAATCTAAAGACAATGCCATGCTAATTAATTGTTAGACTAAAGAATGTGGAGTTTGTCTGGTCTTCTCCCCGAGGACCTAACTGACTTAACAGGTTATTAAAACAGATTTATTTCTTAAAAAAAATTAAGTGTGAGAGTTTTCTTTAATTTTATAAACAACTCTGTTGTTATCTCTTTGTACTGATCCTTATAATTTTCTCATGGTAAATTCATAAGAATAAGATTATAAGCTCAAAAGATATCCATACTTTATAAATACTGCCAAATTACTAGCCAGAATTGTAGCAATTTACAATCCTGTGGGTGAGTAAATCAGGGCAGTGAATCTTGAAAACTGAGCTTTCTGAGCCCCTAACAGTTTCTCTTTCAGATTCTCTATGATCTTTGAACACAGACACCTTGAATGTTGGGGGCAGTGATCACACTTGCCTGCTTTGCACATATAGAAGGTGCCTGTCAGGTTGGTTTCAATCACAGCATGCCATCCCTTTGCACTGATGTGGTCAGCAGGAGCCGTGAACTGGCCTCCTCCATTGTTTACCAAGAAATCGATCTTCCCATAAATATCTAAGGTGGATTTGACCAAATTATTTACCTGAAGAAAAACATTAAAAGTAAACTGGTTAATGACCTTATTTGCTACTCGGATGGATGGTTTGCTCCAGGAGAGCTTACAATCTCTCACCACAATGTCCACACATCAGAAAGCTGGAGGTACAATTTTGCTTCCCTTCCTCTCTCCTTCTCCTGAGGCAACTTACTTAATGGATCATTAGCAAAGAGCGTCCTTCATAGGCTCTGCTTCTCCTGAACCTCATCTGAGGCAGGTAACATGAGCAAACCTGAAGCACTCCTACTTTAGGAACCACTGATATGGATGAAAAATGAAAAAAGACATGGGTATGGTTGTAGTACCTCCTCTTCCTTACGGATGTTGCATTTTATGGGAGTGACCTGAGACTGGTGGGTGGGAGACAGGATGGTTTTCAGTTCGTCTGCAGTAGATTTTAATACATCGAACTTACGGGATGAAATGACCACATTACAACCTGAGGAAAAAACAGCAAAAGGACAAGTAAATATGCTTTCATTGGTTGACAAAATCCCACAAATAATATTTACCGAATATTTCATGTGTTCCCATAAAAAGGATGAACTGGGACTTCTGCTTCAAGATGGAGTAACAGGAACTGGATTGCTATCAAATCAATGAACATATCCTTAGGTGAGGATGAAAAAACAAACACATCTGTAACTCTTCCTAAATCCATGTTAAGAAATTGAGCATCCTTAAAAGAAATGAACAACAATAACACAGCCAACAACAAAACAACTCAGGATACTAATGTGATTAATGCCTGACTTTGTCCAAGGCCTCAAAAAAGACAGACAGTGAGCACTAGCTGATTTTTTTCCCAGTGGATAGAGCATTGGCCTGCATACTAAAGGGTCCTGGGTTCCATTCTGGCTAAGAACACTTACCTGGGTTGCAGGATCCTTCCTGGCCTGGGCCATGGTAGGGGCCCTGTGCAGGAGGCAACCAATCCATGTGTTTCTCTCACATTGATGTTTCTATCTTTCCCTCTTTTCCCACTCTCCCTAAAAATCAATGGGGAAATATCCTCGGGTAATGATTAACAAAAAACAAATAAAAAAAAGACATACAGTGAAAATACATGTAGGATTTTCCCCATGAATTATCAAACCCAACGTTTCCTAAATTAACACTGCCTATTATCTGAGCCCTGACTGCTTCAGCAAAGTTATGCAATACAAGTAGAGCTCTACTGAAACACAACTTTAAAGGCTGTTTACTTCAACTGATAGAGCTTGTCACCACATTCAAAAGGTAACCCAGCCCACCGTTCTTTTAACATTGTTTCTGTAAAGGATGACTTGTAAATTCACAGGTAGCTGCTGATACACTGCCCGTTGGCTTAAAGCATTCTAGGGGCTAACCTCAAGGAAGCTAAGTCCAGGCTTCAGGCATTTTGGCTCCAGATTTGCTTACCTTCCAGGTCATCACTTGACTGGCTCCAAGACCATTAGTGGAGCAGACTGTGCCGACTGGCACACAGCACCTTCACAAAGACCCACAACCACTCTGGTCACCTTTGTTCTGTCTTCCCCTTCCCTGCCCATCAAAACCTCTGCCTGCACTGAGATGCCAAGATGGTCTTTGTGATGGGAGTCCGCCATCTTCTCAAGGTGCCGGCTCTCTTCCTGCTTTCCTTCATTAGCACCTGTCTCTAGAGCAGTGGTTCTCAACCTTTCTGCTGCTGGAACCCTTTAATATAGTTCCTCATGTTGTGGTGACTCCCAGCCACAAGATTACTTTCGTTGCTACTTTATAACTGTAATTGTGCTACTGCTGTGAATCGTAATGTAAATATCTGTGTTTTCCTATGGTCTTAAGCGACCCTGCTAGCAGTTCTCAACCTGTGTGGTTCATGAAAGCCTAAGCCTGTGGGCAAACACAGATATTTACATTACGATTCACAACAGTAGCACAATTACAGTTATGAATTAGCAAGGAAAATAATTTTATGGTTGGGGGTCACCACACCATGAAGAGCTGTATTATAGGGTCGCTGCATTTGAAAGGTCAAGAACCACTCCCTAGAGTATTGGCTTTCAAGCAGCAGGCAGCCAAATCTGGGTTCGGTATCAGAACTTGAACTAGTGTGCAAAGGTAATACAAGAAAAAACAAACAAAACTTCAATGCTGGGCAAAACACTGGAAATCCAAATGTCCATTAAAGGAATGGTTACATAAATGATTGAACACCCATTCTATGGAATATGACATGACTTTAAAAAGAATGAGATACTACCATATGTACTAGCCAGGAATGAAAAAAAAATTACAGAAAAGTTAAAATATTGTGGTCCCAGTTTTGAAAGAAACATAATATACATATGTGTGTATATGTGGGCATTTGGGTGGGTTCATAGAAAATCTCCAAGGAGATGTATAATAAGAGCAAAATGGGGAAACTAATTTTTTTCTTTTATATACTTCGATACTACTAGAATTTATTACAGTGCACTTATATTATCTTAAAATAAACTAGAAATGTATTAAATATAATTCTTCTCCAAATCCTACACTAAATAATTTGAATAAACTTTTTTGGTTTGTTTCTATGAGAAGCTAGAGAAATCCTGAAAGCTAAACTTGTTTAGATATAAGATGGAGAACTAACTTGCAGATGAGGAGTTATTTCTACATCAGGCAAATGCTTTCCTGCTTGGGCTGACACTGATTCCTTTTCATCTTCAAATCAAAGTATGACCTTTATTAAGTACTTTCTAGGTGCCTGGTGTCAGTAATAGCCTTGGTGTAAACACCACAGGCTTTTGTTTGTTTCTTGTCTTGTACTGTAAATGCAGAATTTAAGCTTTGATTGGCAAGGCATCCAATTCAAAGAAGGCTATCCTATCTAATAAAAGGCTAATATGTAAGTCATCTGAACTGCAGAACTGGTTGTTATGATGCACATATACATTTGCTGTATATTGTAAACAGTTTTCTTCATGTGCCTTTAATATTTCCTTACATTGTTTTTTTTTTAATTCAATTATGTATTCTATTCATGTGGATTTACATTTCATGTGGACAGATTGATCAATTTTCTCCTTCGTGGTTTCCCTTGCTTCCTTGTTCAGATGCTGACAGAGTCCCCCCTGTACCCTAGCTTACTTGTCTGGGGAACAGAGCTTCTGCTGGTGCACTGCAGGGTCCTAGGCTCCATCCCAGGCAAGGGGCACCTACCCCTGTTGCAGGCTCCATCCCCAGCCCTGGTTGGGGCCCTGCAGGAGGCAGACAGACCATGTGTCTCTCTCACCTCGGTGTTTCTCTGTCTCTCCTTTCCACTCTCTCTAACTTTCCCCAGGGCCAAAACTTTCCTTGAGTGACTATTAGCAAAAATAAAATAAATAAAAAGTCCTCCCTCCACTCATTGCAGGATCTGTTATGAAAGCTGATATGATGGGAGCCTCTCAATGCCACACACTTTTCAAGTGACATCAAGTCCTCCTGGGTCCTCACCCCTCAGGGGGCAGCCTGCGGAAAGGATTCGTTTTCCATGATTCATTCCACACAGGTTTCCGCAGGTCTCCTTCTCTGCTACTTGGCACCCCAGAGGAGCGGGTACAATGTCTCCCACATCTGTCCCTCTGTGCTTCGCAGCTCCACACCTTCCGCAACCCGCCTAGCGCCTCCCGCCTGCGTGTCCAGGGCCCGGCCGGCGGTACTCACGCACCCAGCCGCAGGAGCTCGGTCGTGATGGCCTTCCCGATGCCCGTGCCCCCGCCGGTGACGATGGCCACCCGGTCCAGCAGCAAGCCGGCCGCCAGGCAGCTCCTGCCCTGGGCCCCCATCGCCGGGGCTGCGGGGCGCCCAGTGCTCCCAGGGGCGGCCCGTGAGGGATGCTGAGCCCTGGAGCTCACGTGACCGCCTCCCCGCCCGCTGCAGCTGCGGACAGACGCTCCGCCGCCGCCCCGTCTGCACCCTCTGCCGCCTCCGCCCCGCCGGCAGGTGCAGGTGAGACACCTCTTTGTGTGCTTTGTTTTGTTTATATTTCCACGCCCGGGAGGTGTTGGCAGGAGGTGCTGGGGGAGGGGGGGGGCAGAAGGGAAGCAGACAAAAGGCGGGAGCGTGCAGTGTTTTGAAAAATGCAGTCCTCAGTGCCCTGGCTCCCGCGGTTAATTAAACGGGAATCTGCAGGGCGTCCGGGCAGAGGCTGCAGCTCGGCCCGATGCTGGTGCGGCTGGCTGGGGAGGGAAGGGGCTGGCCCCGCTGAGAGGAGGCATCCGCTTCCATCCAGGCCCTCCCATCCTCAGGGGGACCCGGGGAGGGCAGGAGCGGGGCAGGCAGGAAGGCCGATGCGGGTATCCGCAGACACAGGAAATGGTTTACAAAATAAACTGGAGTCCATCTCCACCTCATCCCCCCCTCAGCAGAGAAAGGGAGAAGCGACCTTTACCAGATGCCAGATCTGATCCATTTCAGCCAGGCTGCGTACACCCATGAGTCCTTGAAAGGCATGCTTGCAGCAAGAATGCATCCTAGGCCTGTGTTTGAGAACCTGTCCTCCAGCTCCGTGGTCGGCAAACTGCGGCTCGCGAGCCACATGCAGCTCCTTGCCCCCTTGAGTGTGGCCCTTTCTCAGGAATACCATGGCCTGGGCGAGTCTATTTTGAAGAATTGGAGTTAGAAGAAGTTTAAGTTTAAAAAATATGGCCCTCAAAAAAAATTTTAATCGTTGCACTGTTGGTATTTGGCTCTGTGGACTAATGAGTTTGCCGACCACTGGTGCAGCTCATTCTTTATGCAGGAGGCGAGCCTGCTGAGGATGGGGGAAATTTCTCATCTGAGTTTGGGTGCCCAGTCATAGTGATTCGTTATTCAGGTTCTCCTTACTGTTCATCTGGCCTGGTTCAGCCAACACACCAGAGGGAGAGCACACCTGGTCTGGCCTGGAGCGCCTTTGCCTAAGAACTTGGCAGATCCAGGGCTTGTGTCAGGTTCTGTGGTCTAACCATCCAGGCAGGATGCTATTTCTAAGTGTGTTATCAGAGTGCTGTATGTTCCTCTCTGGCCATTAACATAGTGTGAAAGCAAACAAATGCCATTATCTGATTGGCCCCAGCACCTAATCACAAAGCAAAGAAAATGGTGAGAGTGCACTCAGACATCCTCCTTCCTCTTCCTCCATCCCCTGCCCTTCTCTGACCTCCTTTAAGACACACTTGCCCCCAATCTGTGTTGCTGACAGATTCCAATCTCTGCTCAGTGCCTAAGGGAAGAAAGTTCCTCTTTCCATTTGCTAGACGGTTTACCCATGAGTCACCTCTACTAGTAAGTCAGGTATGTGGTTATGACCACATTTTTAAGAATGACACTGGTCACCTCCATAACAAAGAATTAAATGTATATAGCAACGTTCAAAGTTTTATTGCAGAAAAAATAATTCCTGGTGCTTTAATCCCAACAACAAAATATTTATTTTAACAGGAAGAGCAATATTGACTTGGTTCTGAGGAATTTCTTTATTCCAGAAAACCTCAGGCTTTCTTTCTTCACATGGAACACTTGAAGCTTCTTTAAGAACACTGTTATGAAGATATAATTTGTGTGGTTTGTGCCTGGGTTGCACCTGTGGCTTCATGGAGCTCTGCCTGGGTGGGTCAGCGAGCGCCTGGCTGCACCATGGCCCCTGGTGGTGGCTGCGTGGACTGGGAGAGGCTCTGTGGTCCTCCAGTGAAAATCGGGCTGCACTGGCTTCAAGCCCGTATGGACTGCCGAGGAGGCCAGGAGCCAGTCCTCGGCAGCAAGGAAGGGGCAGCATGAGCAATCAGAAAGACAGTCCAAGACAGCCCATGATGGAGATACATGAGGTCTCTTTGAGAGGACTTTTGTTAAAAATAAGAGGCATGTCTCCTCTGCCTCTGACCTCAGCCAGGGTTTGAGAGTCTAACCCCGTAAGGCCTGGCGGACCAGAGGTAGTTCTGTTGCTCAGAGGCTTGTGTTTCCAGATTTCAACTCTGGCCCTTGATGGAGCCATCTCGCCTCAGGACAGCCACAATATGCTGCACTGACTGCTCCTCTGGTGAATCAGGTGCTGCCTTTCTGCATCTCTACCCACTTTGTCCTGGGGAAAAAGGCGTCCTCAAGGCCCCGATCCTCCCACACTCCCACCTGTCATACTCCATTAGCGCTGACTCCCTACATGTTCTGAGATTCTTTCTCACCCATCTTCCCGCCCCTCCCCCGCCCCATCTGCATGGTAACTTCACTTTCTCCCTTCTGCAAAGCAGCTGCTGGCTCAGACTGACAGGGCCCCATGGGATTCTCAACATTCAGACTCAGACTCCCCACGCAGAAGGAGTGTCAACGAGGCCTCTAGCTCCATCCCACCTTAAAGTAAGAGGCTGGTTTATATAAATAAAATTCATAACTAGTTCACAATATTCAGCCAATATTTATTAAGCACCTGCATGTGCCAAGTACTGTTCTCTACAGTATAGAGGACAAGACAGTTAGGTGTGTCTGCCTTGGCAGAGTTTATGTTCTGGCTTGTGTGCCTGTTTGGAGCAGAAATGGGAGGTGGAAAGGCTTTGTGTGCCATGAGCAAACCAAAGGTCAGATAGTGAAGGTGAGACCTTACAATAAGAACGTACTCCAGCCCCTTATAACCAACTACCTTTGCTGCCAGGAACAGTTTCCTCTGTAGATGGTCAGATCCTCCCTCAGTGATGAACCTGTCTCAGTGTGAGAACCTTCCAGAACCAGGTAGGTTGGCAATGACAAGAGAAATACTATCACGGGACCACAAAGGAACAGGCTACCCTGTGCTCATGGCCAATTCACAGCAACTGACTGGAGGCTGCTGTTCCATCATTGTTCAGTCACTTGACATCCTCTAAGCCAAATTCCCTCTCATTTTTACCTTGGAGAGACTATCTCCCTGAGAGGGGATATGATAATTTTCAGTGGTAAAATGATAAGTTTTATTTTCTAGCTGGCCTTCTACACATAATGGTGGTGATCAAGATACTATTGGGAGAGTCTGGCCACCCCAGACAGGTAAAATGTGGTCCTTTGGGTGACACATACACAAAACAGAAGAATTGAGAACATAGCAGGCTGGAGCAAGACAATTTACTGTAGTGGTAAATTAACTTAAAAAATGATGCTATCCCACCCACCCAGTCCCAGCTCAAGTTCTCTGAAAGAGGGAGATGTGCCCATATGGGTCAAAGTGCAAAAAGTCAATTCCTAATTATTCTTAAACCATTGGAGCAGGCCACCCTGATTTGGAAGTGTTATGAGCCAGAGGTGACAACCTTTTTGTGTTTTGTTATGGTTGGTTGTCCACTTGGCAATTTGTTTAAATTTAGACTCATTGCAACAAGTAAAGTCAGGGTTTTTCAGATGAAATATCAGGCAATCCATGCTAAATGGACCTGTATTTCTCCATGGAAGCACTCTTGGCCAGCTCTTTACAAGCAGAGAATAGTCTCTGTCACAATCTGTTCAGGCTGCTATAATAAAAGTACGAGTAGCTTAAAGAAATTATTTTTTTCTCATAGTCTGAAGATTGGGAAGTCCAAGATCAAGGTACTGGCACATCCAGTGTCTGGTGAGAGCCTGCTTAATAGACATCTTCCTGGTTCATTGGTGTCCAGCTTCTTGCTTTGACCTCACATGACAGAAAGAGCAAGAAAATTCCCCATAATTTCTTTCATAAGGGCACTAATCTCATTTATGAGTGTGCACCCTCACAACCTAATCACCTCTCAACGACTATACTTCCTAATACCATCACAGTAGAGGCTAAAATTCTAACATATGAATTTGAGAGGGGTTCAAATATTCAGTCCATAACAGTATCATACAGTGTATTAAGCTCTCCAGAGGGCTCCAGGTGGCGCTTGAGCCAGCATCAGTGTAGTATCCTTTGTATTGGTCTGCTGGGTTTCAGGATTCCTGGCCCACTCAGATGAATCCAAACTGCTTGAACTATAAAATGGGTGATGCCACTTTAAGATCTAACTCTGAGGTACATATCAAAATTTGATTATGCCCCAAGGCTGATAACTTGGAACACAGCAGAGTTATTGGGACATAAAATAGCGAATACATTGGGCAATCCCAATGTATTCGTTAAGATTTCTGTGTGGCTGCCTCAAGAGGCCAAAATAACCTTGGTTAAAACAAAACAAATATTTGTTTTTCTCATATTACAGTCCAGAAGAAGATGGTGGCTCTTAATCCTTCTCCCTCGTTCCTCTGCCATTCCTAACGGCTTTCCTTGTCTGTATGGTTGAAGATGACTCATCCAATTCACTTTCCAGTCCTCAAGAAAGTGAAAAGAGGAAAGAGAGGTGCACATGTGGAAGCTGCACATATCACATTTCCTCACATCCCATTGGCCAAAGACTAGTCGTGATCACACTTATCTTTGAGGAATGCTGGGCAATATTGTCTTTACCGGGGAAGTCATGTGACCAGCTACAAACCTCCATTATTAAAGAAGAAAGTAAATATAGATGTAGCACTTAACAATTGTACCATAATTGAGCTTATTAAGCATAAAAGAGCTTATTAATGTCTCTTTACTTAACTTTTCCTTAATCTTGGTCTTTGACAAGATCAAGCTAATCCTTAATTACTACCATGTCACTCCCCCAAAAATTATTAATACAGTCTCTTAAAATATTTTGTTGAAAACCTACTTGTTGACCTAATTGTATGAGCTTATACAAGCTTATACAAGCTCTATAGTCTTCTTTATAGAATTTGTAGTCTAGTAGAGGTGATAGACAATAAACAAGTAAAATAAAAAATAAAAAGACTTAATTACAAATGTTATGTCTTATACAAGAAATAGGCTATATTGAAAAGGAATAATGAAAGGCAGAGCAGGGGCCTATTTTAGGTTTGGTGTCAGGAAAGCCTTGGGGGATACCAAGGCTATGGCCATGTGAAGGGCCAGGGGTGGACAACACACCAGCCCTGTGGTAGACAGCATTTAAGAAGACTTCAAGAGGGCCTGGCCAGTGTGTCTCTGTGGTTGAGTGTCTACCTATGAACCAGGAGGCCGCAGTTCAATTGCTGTCAGGGCACATGCCCAGGCTTCAGGCTTGATCCCCAGTGTCAGGTATGCAGGAAGCAGCTGATCAATGATTCTCTCTCACCATTGATGTTTTTATCTCTCTCACCTTCTCCATCTCTGAAATCAATAAAAATGTATATATTTAAAAAAGACTTCATGAGGGAAAGCAGTTGGTGGTCTTGAAGAATAATTGGCAGCCAGTGTGATCAAGCATTGGAGACATAGATGAAAAAAGAGGAAGAGCAGCTGAAACTGGTTTGGCTCAGTGGATATAGCGTTGGGCTGTGGACTGAAAGGTCCCAGGTTCAATTCCGGTCAAGGGCATGTACCTTGGTTGCAGGCACATCCCCAGTAGGGGGTGTGCAGGAGGCCGCTGATTAATGATTCTCTCTCATCTATGTTTCTAACTCTCTATGTCTCTCATTGATGTTTCTAACTCTCTAGCTTCCTCCCTGTACAAAATCAATAATATATATATTATATATATAGAGAGGAAGAGCATAGAGTAGCAGGCCAGGAAGAGGCTGAGTCATGCAGGTCCTTATGCCATGTGGATTTCTTTTTATAACAGTGAAGAGGGTTTTAAGCTTTAAGCTTTATGTAAACTTGATGGTGATTGTGTCAATGCTTCCTGCCACAACCTGCACAGCTAGGGTTCAGGATCTGAAGGAGGGGCTGATGCACAAATGAAAACACTAGACAAGAAATATGCATTTAAAAGGCATGGGGGGTAGGTGGAGACCTCTCTCTAGGAGAGGCACACTGAAACCTGCTTTACCCCTTTTGATTCAGTTTTACATACGTATCTTGCCTTCAGTGAAGCATGGCAAACAGCAGACAGACTGCCTCTAAGGTCACTAACGATCAGTAAATATCAGTAAGGTTCAGTAAACATTTACTTTGAGGCTATTAGAACAGGAAATTGCTTCGAGCCACCACTATCTCAACAGAAAAATAGTGCTTGATATTAGTTCTGCTAATACCCAAGGCCCTTCAACTTTCCTCATTCCTTGGCGCACTCTTATGACAGTATTGGGAAAACAGTGGCTCTCCAGATTTTCAAAAGATATTTCTAATGACTGAGTGAAAAATTGATTGGAAGACAGCAGGAGTAGAAGCCAGATGATAAGGAACATTTTTTAGAATCATAGGTAAGAGATGATGGCTAATAGACCAAAGCATTATAACAACAGGTATGGGAAAAATGGTGGATGAAGTTAAAAATTATGGAAAGTTGCCTTCAAGAATGCTTAAAACCAGTTATTTGAAGCATGAGTTTTAGAGTCTGAGCATGTTCTTTAAAACCTATTTGCCTCCTAGGATGACTGAGAATCAGGAGCTAATGATTTATTGAAGACCACACTGTGCAGCATCACATTCACTGACCATCTTCAGAATGGGAGTGGACATGGAGGATGTCCACTTCCAGGGAAAAGAGCAGTTCTTTCTCCTCCCTTAATTCTACAGATGAAAGTCTTAGAAGCTGAGAAAATCCTTTTTATCCTCCAGCTTATGGGATATAAAAGGAAGAAGAAGTATTCAGAACCTACTTCCCAGATAAAACCCTAACAACATAATAAAGTATATAAAAATGGGGAGATAATTAAGCCTTTCTTTCTTAACAGTGGCTCTTTTCTTATTTTTAAATAGGTATTTTCCCTTTCCCTCTGTCCTATCAGGTCAACAGGCATACCCTAAGTATCTGCTATTTGAGTCCTGGGGTCTTTCCACTGGACCTGAGGAAGTGTAAGATTGTTCCTGATTTCTAAAATTGTACAATCCACCCACAACCTCTCTTTACTTTGTAAACAAACAAACAAAAGAGGAATAAGAAAGACTGTTAAAGAGTGAAGAGTGTGTGCCCTCTCCACTGGTTTCCCAGCATGTGGTAGGGCAGATCCCAGGAACTTTCTGGGATCTTGGGCCAACAAGAAGTCAGGAAAAAGGTGTGCTCTGTAGAACAGTAGGGTATACGTGGTTGGTGAAGTTGAGCCATCTTTTTTTTTAAAAATATATTTTATTGATTTTTTTACAGAGAGGAAGGGAGAGAGATAAAGAGCTAGAAACATCGATGAGAGAGAAACATCGACCAGCTGCCTCTTGCACACCCCCCACCGGGGATGTGCCCGCAATCAACATACATGCCCTTGACCGGAATCAAACCTGGGACCGGTTTCAGCAAGTTGTGCCATCTTTTGGTGCCTCACTGAAGGTTGCATTCATTTATCCATTTGAGTATTCTTGTAATGTCTGACTTGATAGCCAGAAGCCTGGAGTATTGGTTGCAGCCATTTGAATCTCCTTCTATGGTGACAGTAAGAATGGTTCTTCACTGCCATTTGTCTGTAAGGCTTCCTCAAAAGTATTTTACAAAAAAGGTAATTTACAAAAACATATATTATGTACTAGCAAACCCAATTTCATTAGACTTGTCTAGATTGTGGGTTTCCTAGTACATAATATATGTTTTTGTTAATGACCAACATCATTGCAATAAAAGTTTACTCACTATAATCCAGTCCTATAAAAGTATCTCTGCAGCACTCAAAAATGCAGAAATATCCCAGCCAGTGTTGTTCAGTGGTTGAGCATCAACCCATGAACCAGAAGGTCAGGGTTCAATTCTTGGTCAGGTCACATGCCTAGGTTGCGGGCTCAATTTCCTGTAGGAAGTAGGTGATGGATATTTATCATTGGTATTTCTATCTTTCCTTCTTCCTTTTTCTCTGACATGAATAAAAATAGATTTTAAAAAGAATTTTAAATGCATGAATAAAGTGTTATGAGAAGTAAAGAGAAATAAGGTGTTATGAGACGTAAAAGGAGGTGAAGACTTGCCAAGTTGAAGATCATTTCCTAAATTCCTTTTCAGCTCACTCCTATTGATGGCTCTACTTTCCTATCTTTCAAGTTGAACTCATCATTGGGATATCTTTGCAAAGTCCCATCCAGGAAGATCCTCTGGGATGTGTGGATTGTAAATTTGCTCAAGCAAGTAGGAGTCTTCACAAGAAATAACCAGACGTGAGGACTAGAATGGAAGAGCTGGCGCCAGTAGAAAGTCAGGACCAGCTCCCAAGCCCCCACCATGGCTCTCTGAGGAAGGCCATGACAGCTGCCCTGGCCCTGGATGGGGAATCCACAATAGGTCGCAGGAAAAAGAAGAGGAAGGAGTCCCGCCCAGAATCTATTATCATCTACAGGTCAGAGAGTGAGAGAGTGGATGAGGAGCCTGGGGAATCAGAAGGTGGAGACCAGCCTAGAGAGGAGGAAGGAGCGGACTTCCTAGACTATCCTGCCGATGATGGTAAGTCTCTCTGGGGCCACTTGCTTAAAGCCATGGGAAGGAAACCAAGTGAGGATCCTCAGAAGACAGAAAGGCATTTGATCACTGACCTATTTCTTCTTGTTGATACATTACTTTTCACAAAGTTGCAGTCTTCATTTAATGAATTGGCAATATTTATTGAACACTTATTATATTATCTTCTAGGTAATAAGGAGTAAATCTCTGCCTTTTTGGAACTTCTAGTATAATGACTTATACACAAAAATTAATAATATAAGCCATTCTGTGCTAATCACTTAATACATATAAGATAAAGAAACAATAATAGTTGGCTTTCATAATAATCAGGAAAATACAAGTTATAACAACAATGAGTTATAGTATTTTCTCACATTTAGGCTGGCAAAAAATGGGTAAAATCTGATAACATCAATGTGAGGAAGTGTACATATGCTCATACACCTCAAGTGGAAATGGAATTTGCTTTGTCCACTCAGTAGGAAAAATTGTCAATTTTTATTAAACTAAAAATATGCATTCCGATGTCCTGGAAATTCTCAGTATCTACCCCATGCAATTTATGCCCGTGTGCATAAGGAGGCATGTGTAAGAATATTTGTTGCTGTTATTGAAGTTGTGGAGTGTCTGTATTGAGCATCACTGTTTAGCAACAAATGGCTGAGGCAGATCTATTTGTGTAGATGGATTCATCTCTAAACAGATACCCAAAGGGAACAAGCAATTGCTTTCATGCAGTTGGCCTTCTAATGGAAGGAAGGCAGACAGTGAGCAAGTCAGCAAATAAAGATAATTCAGGCAGTGGTTCAAGTTTCCAAGACAATAAATCACAGTGATGAGAAGATGAGTAACTGGGGGGAGAGATTGTATGGATGTGCAAGGGCTCTCTGAGGCTGTGATATTTGAGCTGATCTGAATGACATGAAGGAACCAGCAATGAAAAGATCTTGGGCAGAGCTTTTGGAGGAGGGAGAACAGCAAGGGCAAAGACCCCAAGTTGGGAATATCATTGCTTGTTTCTGGAATAGAGTATTTTCTGTTAGTGAGTGTAGAGAATGGTGTGAGAACAGAAAGGTCAAAAGGGTCTTATCGCAATGGGTTAGGATTTATTATAAGTTCAAGAGGAAGTCAATAAAGAATTGTTTTTAAAAATATATTTTTTGATTGATGTTTAGAGAGAGAGGAAGGGGGGGGGGGAGATAGGGAACATTGATTAGCTATCTCATGCACACTTCTTGCCAGAGATTGAGCCCACAACCTGGGCATGTGCCCTGACCAGAAAGGAATCAAACAGGATGTTGGGGACATGCCAACCTAAAACTTGTGCTGTGCCCACCTTCTTCATTTGCATAATACATTTCACATACTGAGGATCACGGACTTCCCTATTTCAGTATCTTCAACCTCACTTCCAGAGTGGCCAAAGGATGGCTGTTTGGTGGTGGTTGTTGTTGGTAATAGTGGTGTTGAGTGTATTTGTGTGTGGTATGTATGTATGTAAGTATGTGTTGTGTGTGTGTGTGTGTGTGTGTGTGTGTGTGTGTGTGTGAACAGATCATAGACACAAGGGCTGGGATGTCCGCAGACTTGTGAGGAGGCATCCTCTCAGAGAAGCATAGTAATTGACACTAATAAGCAATATTTTTACAGTGCTTATAAGCTGGAAATAAGATCACTATAAAGTGGTGTCTGTAGTAAATTGCTCACACTCCTCTGATCATAGTGATTATGTCAAGATTGAGGTCCAGAAAGTGGAGAAGAAACAGAAAAACAATTCAGTCCACCACTGAATCACTGTCTCCAGTGCCATGACAAATGCTATGAAACTGGACACTAGCCCTGGCCGGTAAGGCTCAGTTGGTTGGAGTATTGTCTTGTTCACTGGAAGGTTTCTGGGTCAATTCCTAATTAAGGCACATACTTAGATTGTGGGATCCATCCCTGCTCAGGGCACATATGGGAAGGCAACTGATTAATGTTTCACTCCCACATCAATGTTTCTCTCTATCTTCCTCTCCCTCACCCTCTCTCTAAAATAAATAAAACATTTTTAAAAAAAAATAGACACTGTGGTCATCAGCCACAGCCTCAAGGGACAACACTGTGATGAAATGTCCACTCCTGATGTTGACTTCACCTCTCTTATGCCTTGCAGGTATGTGGAACATGCCTTTGGACAGCCGCTATGTCACATTAACTGGGACCATCACACGAGGGAAGAAAAAGGGTCAGATGGTGGACATCCATGTCACTTTGACAGAAAAGGAGCTGCAGGAATTGACCAAGCCTAAAGAGTCATTGAAAGAAGCAACACCTGAAGGCAGAAAGGTCTGCCAGATGTCAGCAGACCGTGGGCCCCACGTGGCCCTCTGGACACTGGTCTGCCTGCCTGTGGTATTTATCCTCTCCTTTGTTGTCTCTTTCTACTATGGCACTATTACCTGGTACAACATCTTCCTTGTGTACAATGAGCAGAGGACCTTTTGGCACAAGATCTCATGCTGCCCCTGCCTCATTCTCTTCTACCCAGTGCTCATCATGGCCATGGCCTCTTCCCTGGGTCTCTATGCTGCTGTGGTCCAGCTCTCGTGGTCCTGGGGAGCATGGTGGCAAGCTGCCCGGGACATGGAGAAGGGCTTCTGCGGCTGGCTCTGCAGCAAGCTGGGTCTGGAGGACTGTTCTCCCTACAGCATTGTGGAGTTGCTTGAATATGATAATATTTCAGGCAATCTCTCCAATAAGGACCCTACCCAGGAAGTAGAAACGTCTACTGTCTAAACTTCCAACATCTGACTTCTTCTTCTGGTCCCGTAGCCTGTATATCATCCAACTCCCCGCCCCTCACAGTGCTTCCGGAAAAGTCTAGGCCACACTGATCTGCCAACTATTTTGATGGTTTTAGGAAGGCAATTTATACAAAAGTTGTCCATACAATGGAAAAACTCTTCTCCATTCCCTGCCCTAAAATGATGATTCATCTGGGACAAGAAACTCTTTTTATGTCATTTCTGGTGCTTGAAGATGTTACTGGTGCTTGGAACTCAGGCAAATATGTGAGTAAGTGTGACAGGGAGAATAAGGAGGACTTGGGGGACCAATAAAATAATAGATAGGGGTGGAGTAAAATATTTAGGAAGCAGGTTTACCACAGCATAACAGAATGTAAAGCTTTGTAGGCATCACTTAGAGTTCTATTTAGCTGCATATAATCGATATCCCAAAACATGAATGGTTTAAACAAGATAGAAGTTTACTTCTTTCTTCTATAGAAGAAGTCTGGAGGCAGATCATCAGGGAACCTGATGGAGTTCCCTGGATCCAGGCTTTTTTTATTCCCCTACCGTTGGTGAAATATGACCCTCATAACCTTTATCTTCCACACCCTGGTGCTGACTACATCTGCAGCCACCTCGTCCATGTTTCTGGCACAGTAGAGGAAGGGGCAGAGAAAAGCATATTTTCTGTGCTCAAGGAGGCTTCTCAAAGCTCCACTCAATACTTCTTACTTCTCATGGGCTAGGCCTTCGTCACATGATCTAACAAGCAAAATAGGCTGCAGAATGTAGTCTTTTGGCAGTTATATGCTAGCTAAATATGGGGGTTATGCAAATTTAAGAGGAAAAAGAAGAATGGCTATTTTGATTGGCAAGAGAGGATATCAGTCATTATTTACATATATTCAGATCCCAAACTGCTTATTTATTTATTTATTTATTTATGCCTAAATCTTAGAGATTTTATATGTAGATACTAGCTCTATATACTATGTATAAGCTATATATAGATATTAGTATCTAGTACTTTGCAATTAAATGACTGTAATGTCATGTGGTTTCAGGGTTATTTGGAAGGGAAGAGTAAAGAGTTGAGTACAACTATATCACCGTAGTGTACTTTTTCCCCTGGGAGTGAAGGTGGGACTGGGTGGCAATATTTAATTTACTCTGAGATTAAATACTGTGCAGGGAGGGATTGCATCTGTGATTCCCCACTGCCTTCCCCTCATCCCCATAAGAGGGACTGCTAGCCCTAAGCAAGAAGAAGGTAGAGTTATTTTTCTGTTGTTTGGAAAAACCTCACTCAGAGCCTCACTCACTCACACTTTTCTGGAGTTTAACAACAAACACAATGTCTGTTGAGCTGGAAGACTGTCTTCCTGGTCATCAGGGAATGTAAAGCAAGTGAATTAGATTAATTTTAAACTTTAAAAAAAAAATTCATTCCTGAAGGTGTATTTCTAATTTTTTTAATTAGACCAAGCTACTTGTGGAGGTTTGGGGCCTTACAGGAATAGCTGGTACTTGTTTCTTATTCATGTCTCAGGAAGAAGTTGAAAGAACTGCTGTGAAGCAAACAAGACTGGTTGGGCATGATCTCCCACAGAGGGCCAGGGTCATTTGTTTAACGTATGGTGCTGAATTCCACCTTCAGTAGATTCTCCACAATTATGATGGTGATTATTTAAATCTTCACCCGAGGATATTTTTATTGACTTCAGAGACAAAAGAAGACAGAGAGAGAAACATCGATATGAGAGAAAAACATCCATCTGCTGCCTCTTGTATGTGCCCCAACTGGAATTGAACCCCCAACCTAAATATGTGTTCTGACTTGGAATTAAACCTGCAATCTTTTGAACCCCCAACCAACTGAGCCACCCAGTCAGGGCAACACCCACCTTTTATTATCAGTTTGGCCAAAACAAAATTCTGTTCAACATTTTTGAAGATAAACTTGGTGCTCACTGGTGTTTTTTTTAAAAACCATATTTAATATCACAAATCTAATAGTTAAACTTATGTATTCTGTAACAAATCAAAGTATATGTGCTTTCACCTCTGGCCAAGTTCTCATTCCAATTGAACAGCCTATTTTTGGTGTAAGGAATGGTAATGCTGCAATAAAATTGCAAATGTCTGCGGGCATACATTGAGGGATAACTCTGACCTTCAGGGATTCCAGCTTTTCCATATTATTTGCTGATCTTCAGTTGTAAAACCAGGATGATGTACCCAGATTATCATTTGAACAGTTTTGAGATTCTTAATGGAATGGATGGACTATGCTGGTCTGCATGTAAAAAACCTTCAACCTCCTCCTCTTAATCTTTTTGTTCTGTTTTCCTTTCCCTCCTTTCAAAAACTCCTTCCTGCACTGAGATGCTAAGATTGTTTTTAAGGACAAGAGTCCACCATCTTCTCAGGTCGCTGGCACCTGAATAAACCTCTATCCTTATTTACCATACCTGTCTCATGAGAATTAGCTTTCATGGTGGCAGGCAGCCAAGCCTGTGGGTTGTTTCCCCATTTTCACTTTTATGGAGATGTAAACAATTGAAATGAAAACAAAATAAAAATAAAATATGTTAAAATGTGCACACTTTGTTTTTGAGTTTCTCCCAAACTGCTTTGAATGCAACAATTTGAAGAAAAAGAGTAACTATGGTGGCTGTTCTATCTCTATCCTATATAATTAAGTGGTAATATGCAAATTGACTAGTACTCCAACAAATAAGATGGCCGCCCCCACGTGGACACAAAATGGCCACCACAAGATGGCCAGCAGGGTAGGGCAGATGTACGTGATCAGGCCAGCAGGGGAGGGCAGTTATGGGTGATCAGGCCTTCAGGGGAGGGTAGTTGCGGGGAACCAGACCTGCAGGGGTGGGCAGTTAAGACTGACCAGGCTGGCAGGGGTGTTTAGGGCATGATCAGGCAGGCAGGCAGAAGTGGTTAGGGGCAATCAGGCAGGCAGGCAGGCAGGCAGGCAAGCAGTTGGGAGCCAGCAGTCCTGGATTGTGAGAGGGATGTCCAACTGCCCATTTAGGCCCAATTAGTAAAATCGGGCCTAAACAGGCAGTCAGACATCTCTTAAAGGGTCCCAGATTGGAAAGGGTGCAGGCTGGGCTGAGGGACACACGCCCCTCCCATGCACAAATTTTGTGCACTGGGTCTCTAGTACTGGTATATAAAAACCTAAGCAACTGTTAAGACTGGTTAACTGGTCATTATGACATGCACTAACTACCAGGGGGCAGACGCCCAATGCAAGAGCTGCCCCCTGGTGGTCAGTATGTTCCCAAAGCCAACCAACCTCTTGCTTTCCCTCTCTCAGGACTGGGAGAGATGGCCCTGATTGACCCCAATCGCTGGCCAGGCTGAGGGACCTCACCCATGCATGAATATTAGGCCTCTAGTACATGTATAACAATCTGAATCTGAATCCAAGTGTTTATGAAGCAAAATATCTTGACTTTTTCCATGTACTGTTACTGGGAAACCCCCACTTGAGCTCGGGCTGCGTGTTGCTGTGTCCAACAATGAAGGCAAGGTTGAATCATTAAGGCTTTTATGGAGGAACCCAGCCAACAGGACAATGATTGAAATTTCTTTTGAGAGACAAATTTTTTAAACTTAAACTTCTTCTAACTCCACTTCTTCAAAATAGACTCGCCCACGCCAAGGTATATTGTGGAAGAGCCACACTCAAGGGGCCAAAGAGCTGCATGTGGCTTGCGAGCCACACTTTGCCAACCACGAGTTTAGGACGAGTCTGAGAACGGATGTCAGATATTATCCTTTAATCATCAGGCAATGAGATGATGTTGATGAGATGATGTTTTGACTTCTGGTGTGTCGGTCTGACTTTTCATATCAGTTCTGCTTGCTGGATTCACAGCTGAGTCACCTTCTCAATTGCTTCACACATGCCTTGAAAAGGAAATTTAAGAAAAAATTAACCCTCTATTCACATATGAGAAACTTAACCCCCTATTCACATAAGTATATGAGTTCTAAGATTAAAAATAATATGATTATTTTTTAGATTAATTCAGGTGCTCTATCATAAATCCCCCCTATCAGTAACCCTAATTTATGGAGATTTTGTTTAGGTGGACTGTTTCCATAGTCACATATTTACTTAAGTGTACATTAGGAAATTGCAAACATTTTTGCCACACTTTTCTGGGGATAGAGAAATCAATGCCCAGGCCAAAAGTAGTTATAATTAGAGCAAGGAAAGGAGGTCATGGTTTAACGGAGGAGGGTGGGTGAGGATGAGTTCCATATCTAGATGAAGTTGATATGACCCCCAATCTAGTTGGGATCGCCACCTATTGGAATAAGTGAGCTTGTAAATGAAAATCATTCCAAAAGCTTTCTAATAAGGTACCTAAATGCCTAGACCAGAAGGAGGAAAACTTAACCAAATTGGGAGGCATGGCTTATGAGGGGCACCCAAATAACATTGTTATTCTCCTTGTGTCAAGTTTCCTCATTTGTGACTGTAGCTCTCATGCATCTCTCTTCAAAAATGTCTTTTTTTCCCCTCCATTTTTTTCATTAAGGTATTATAGTGTACATATCTAATCATTGTCGCCCCCACTCCCATACATGCCCTCACCCCCCAGTATTTTGCATTCATTGGTTACGCTTATATGCATGCATACAAGTCCTTCCCCCACATCTCCCTAACCTTCCCACTGTAACTTGACAGTTTGTTTGATGCTTTACAGTTTATAATGTTCTTTATTATCCACGAATGAGTGAGATCATGTGGTATTTTTATTTCATTCATTGGCTTATTTCACTTAACATAATGTTCTCCAGTTCCATCCAGGTTGCTGCAAATGATAAGAATTCCTTATTTTTTGTGGCAGCATAGAATTCCATTGTGTAGATGTATCATAGTTTTCTGATCCATTCATCTGCTGATGGGCTCCTAGGCTGTTTCCAAATCTTTGCTATTGTAGATTGTGCTACTATGAAAATAGGGTTCATATATCCTTTCTGATTCTAGTTTCTTAAGATATATTCCTAGGAATGGGATTACTGGGTCAAATGGGATTTCCATTTTCAGTTTTTTGAGGAAACTCCATACTGTTCTCCACAGTGGTTGCACCAGTTTGCATTCCAACAAGCAGTAGACGAGGTTCCTTTTTCTCCACATCCTCACCAACACTTGTCGTTTGTTGATTTGTTGATCATAGCCATTCTAACAGGTTGAGATGGTACCACATTGCCATTTTGATTTGCATCTCTCAGATAGTGACTTTGAGCATGTTTTCATGTGTCTCTTGGCCTTCCTTCTGTCTTCTTTTGAAAAGATTCTATTTAAGTCCATTGCCCATTTTTTATTGGATTATTTATCTTCCTTTTATTAAGTTGTATAAGTTGTCTATAGATGTTGGAGATTAAACCTTTATCAATGGTAACATTTGCAAATATGTTCTCTTATACAGTGGGATCTCTTGCTGTTTTGTTGATGGTTTCTTTTGCTGTGCAAAAGCTTTTTTTTTTTTTTTTTTTTTTTTCTATGTAGTCCCATTTGTTTATTTTCTCTTTAGCTTCCATTGCCCTAGGAGCAGTATCAGTGAAGAAGTTCTTTTGGCATATGTCTGAGATTTTGTTGCATGTGGATTCCTCTAGTATTTTTATGGTTTCCCGTCTTATGTTTAAGTCCTGTATTCATTTTAAGTTTATTTTTGTGTATGGTGTAAGTTGGTGATCTAGTTTCATTTTTTGCATGTATCTGTCCAATTTTCCCAACACCATTTATTGAAGAGATTATCTTGAATCCATTGTATATTTGTGCCTCCTTTGTCAAATATTAATTGAGCATAGAGGTTTGGGTTGATATCTGGATTCTTTATTCTATTCCATTGGTCTATATGTCTGTTCTTATGCCAGTACTAGGCTGTTTTGAGAACAGTGGCTTTGTAATACTGCTTGATATCTGGTATTGAGATCCCTCCTACTTTATTCTTCTTTTTCAGGATTGCTATGGCTATTCGGGGTATATATTCACATTAATAACATTTACCTCTTCACCTTTAAGGGAGGCCTTTTGCCTGTGGAAGCGGTGCTTAAACTCCATATCCATTCTCAGCACCACACCTGCCTCTCGGCCTGGAAGTGAGTAATTCCAAAGACGTTTCTAAGGATGGCTAAGAAGCAAACAAACACAGGTACTAGAATCTCTTATTTCTTCCAGGAAACAAAGCTGTACTGGAAGGTGTGTGAGTGTGAGACAGGGGGGGAGAGAAAAGAGAAAGAAGAGACTATGTAGAAGACAAAATTATGAGCATAAAGCATGCACATTTCCTTGGTGAGTCTCCAGTAATTCTACTCACGTGTCATATAAAAAGTTTTAAAAATAATATTTGCGTTTCCAAAGAACTCCCTCGAGTTGGAATTAAAAGCTGTGTGCATCGATACCAGTGAGAGGAGAGGGAAATGAGTCTTTCGGACAAGTGGTTTATATTTAGACCCGTGGGCAACTCAAAGACTGCCAGCGCCCACGCACAGGGAGGCACAGGGAATCTGCGCATGCTCAGAGGTCGGCGCCCAGTGCCCCACCCCTCCCAACCCCCCCAGCAGCTCTTCCGGTCCCCTAGCCGCACTTCCGGTCCCCTGGGTTCCCAGTCCGCCGGA